ATATATACTGATATATACAGTATAAGCTGGTATATAGATCAGCTCCCCCCAAAGGAGAAAGCTCTCATAGATCCTGAACTATATGATACATTCACAGGCATCAACACAAATGATGGTATTAATTGATTTAAACTAAAAAGGTATACTATGGGCAGAACCCAAGGGAATATGGAACAAAGTTCATTAAATTCAGCATGTGACAAATAAAATGGACAAAAACAGTAGGGAAAGAAATTTTATTTTCAAGAATTTGTGCAGACAATGGTGAATAAAAAATTGTATTTCAACTATAAAAAGCTGACTTCACACCACCCTGGCATACAGAAGTTATGGTGATGCCAGTATGAGTCTGGGGCGATACTGCTATCTCCCTTCTCCCACCTCTAAAAGACCCTCTTAGAGGAACCACTTCTATTAATTTTCAGTCAAAAAATATGACACATCAAGTAATGAGTTAAACAGGTTTCTGCTTATCTGCATATATAAAGTCAAATGAAATAAGCTGTGTGTTTTGTTTTGTTTTGCTGTAAATTGCCTTCACTCTGTGCACTTTTTGGTACATTCTGGAATGAAAACATCTCAAAATATTACAATTCAAGAGTTAAGATGACCCACCCAGGAGGCTGTAAAAAAATGGTTTGAATAACTAGAACAGTGAAATGGAACTAGTTTAAAATCTGAAACAGCTCTAAGCACAAAGCTTAGAGACATTAGCCCTATTAGAAAAAAAAGTCATTAAAGCTACACAGTAACAAGTGCAAACATGCTGAACTTGTATTTCCAGGGAGTGACACCCCTGTTGGCCAGCAGGTCCCAAACTCACACCCACGAGGTATAGCTCTTCTTTCCCTTTTCCTTTCTTTCATGCGAGATCCTCAGAAATGACCATTGAAAACATATGAATCATTGAAATTTTACCCTGTGGACCAATTCCTGAAGAGACAACAGCCACAACTCTGAGATGATTCGACATGTAGTGTTTACGTGATGACTTTCTGTACTTTGAGAAATCCTCAAAGACTAAACTGCCTATTTTAGAACCTAAACTTCCTAGCAGCTTCTGTCCTTTTGGAGAAAGACAAAAGACAACTTACTGTCACACAGGGGCAACCACCGTTACTTTGTCCACAGTCAAGTTTTGCTCTCATGGACAATCCATGGTAGACCTATGTCCAATCTCATGGTAGACCTATGTCCATGCCTGCTTTTTACAATTTTAGACCAACTTTTTTTTAAAATAAAGAAGTTCTAGGCTTCAAAAATAAAACATTGGATCCTTCTGCTGATACGAGGAGGGAATGGAGAAATCTTCCCTTCAAATGTTGTCACCCTCATTTTATTCATGGATTCTATGAATTGTTCAAATATGCCTATGAATATCAGCAACTTCTCTCATTTGAATTTCTCATGTTCTTATAATACAAGATTTACAAGGGACAGCTAAAGAGGGTTTTACTATGAATAAAATTAAGAGTTGGCCAAGAAAAACAAGTAATCGACTAAAAATTGCCATAATAAACCAGATTTAAACAAAGAATAAGTTTGTATCTTGGATAACATGATAAAACTTCCATTTTACATCACAATCAATTTATACTAGACAGCTTTACTAGTAATATGAACTAATATACTAGATATATTTCTTCTACCCTAGCTGCAAATATATTAATTATTTCTTCAATCGTTTCTCTTTTCCCTAGTGGTGGCATTTAAAACTGAGTAACAGCATGTAGCAGTCAGTAATTTAGAAAATATAAAAAGGCTTTAGGAAAACAGACAGTGGATTCATGTTCATATACCATTTGTTGGGGTGAAGTCTCCTTTTGGGGATACTGGTGAACAAAACCTTATTTCTTGTGAGTTCCTGCTTTCTGGTCTCACCACAGACAGATAACTCCCACGTCTTATGGAGGCCCCGGTTATATCTTGGCAACACTCTCCAGCACACAGCACAGTGATTTCATCTGTTCTCTTTTTGCAGTGAGGACCATGTTCTCTTATACTGCCAGATGAATATATGAAAGATAAATTTCCAAAGCCCAAACATTTCTTGGCATTGTACAACTCCTGTTTCCTACCCAGTGCCCCCCCACTTTCCTCCAGTTTGCCAAATCTAAATCAAAACAGTAAAAAAAAAAAAAAAGTCTAGTCTTGAAAATTATCTCCTTCCAAGAGATCTGAATACAGCTTATTCCTTCCCTAATGAGCCTCCATTTGAAAAGATCCTGACCAGGGCTGAGGAACAGAACAGGTGACAGGTTTTTAGGCAGGAGGTATGTAATGTTATCACCCAGGGGTGCAATTTATCTGGATGTTATGTGCTGTCTGCCGAGGACTGATGTAAGGATAATGGCTTTCTGGAGTCCCCTGAAGCATGACTAATGTTTGTAACCATGAGTTTTCCCCACTTGTGGGAGGGGCAGGTGCTGTGGTGTCATCCTGGTGACTTTGATGATTTTAGCTGAACTCTCCTACGCTGGGTCCAGGCCCCGGGTTCTTCACCCTCGTCCGCGTGGTTGGCAGTTGATGAGATGGATGCTTTGGAATTCATTTTATAAACAGGACATAAAAGGCCATGACGACGCAGGTGACTGCCACAGCAGCATGCAGCCTGGTTCCAATCACAGCAGCTAGCAGGCAAAAGTGGAAAGAGAAAAGAAATCACAGCCTGTCCTTCATATGAGTCCTCACTTTCAAGGTGATATATTTTTTCCCTCCAAAATATATTTTTATTGATTTCAGAAAGGAAGGGAGAGGGAGAGAGAGAGAGAAACATCAATGATGAGAGAGAATCATCAATAGCCTGCTCCCTGTACTGGGGATCGAGCCTGCAACCAGGCATGTGCCCTTGACCGGGAATTGAACCATGACCTCCTGATTCATAGGTCGACACTCAATCACTGAGCCACACCAGCCAGGCTCAAGGTGATATTTTGAAATTTCTAGTCACAGATGAAGAGAGCTACCAACGGTCTCAAGAATCCACTTGGGAATGTATTTAAGTACTACCCTAGTTTCTAGATGAATATACTGTCTGTTTAAATTTTGCCCTATTTTGCAAACATATTTAGGTAGTTAGGATTCCAGATAAAGGTGCCCATAATGTAAAAAAGCATTTGAGCCTGGCCAGTGTGGCTCAGTGGTTGAGCATCGACCTATGAACCAGGAGGTCATGGGGATTCCTGGTCAGGGCACATGCCTGGGTTAAAGATTAGATCCCCAGAAGGAGGTGTGCAGGAGGCAGCCGATTGATGATTCTCTCTCATCTAGGATGTTTCTATCTTTCTCTCCCTCTCACTTACTCTTTGAAATCAATAAAAATATTTTTTTTCATTTTTTAAAAAAAGCATTTGAGTTAATGAAAGCAAAACTTAAAAGACTCCAATATATTCTTTCCAGAACTTCAGGAAAACTTTCCCTTGGCAAACTATTCTTCCCAACAATTCCAGTCCAGTCTAAAATTGTTTAATTTATCTACGTTTCCTCCGTGTAGAATATTAAAATTACCCCGACGCTAAAATAAACAATTATGTAAAAGTGGAACGAAATACGATCCTAGCCAATCTGACCCGCACTTTGCTGCACCCCACTGTCCAGAGATGGCAGACTCCCCCTCCTGGGCAGATAGGCGCTCACCTTTGTAAAACACACCCCACACTCCCCTCTTCTCTGATAGCAGCCAGGTTTTGAGACGAGGAACCTTCTTGAAGTAGGCACAGGTGCAAACAAAGAGCAAACCGAACACCAGAATCCCATCCAGGGAGTACACTGTTACGGGAAGAAAAGAAAACCGTTGGTGCTGTCACTTTGGGGCAGGTGGTCCCACTGGAGAGAAAACTCCAAGGAGCACAGAGTGATATACTATCGAGATGACAACCCCAACACAGTGCCAACCCTTGACACGAGGGAGCCAGGTCCTGGGACGAGCAATGTTAGCTGCCTGTTCCCAAAGGTTGCTTGCAGGCATCCCCCTTAGGACAACTTCACGGTGCCCTGCCCTGCCCTGCCCTGCCCTTTTAAGAACTAGAAATCTTGAAAGTGCATCAGTTCACGTAGACTCTGCCTCCCCGGGATGGCCAGAGCTGGCAAGAGGTTGAGAGAGCCCTAAGAATCCTTGAAGCCTCCGTTCAGAGAATTAAACATATTCTTATTATCGATCACTCATGTGATAAAGAACAGCAAGATATTTAGCCGAGTCTCTGAGACCTGCATCTGTTGGAGAAAACGGTCAGGTGAAAAGTGAAGCTTAAGGGAAATTGCAAGAGTTAGAATCCATATGACTACAGCTTTCCTACGTTTATCTTACACTGCATGCATGATCCTCTTCTGCCAGGATAGCAAGATTCTTGTAAAAGATATATATCTTTCCGAGGCTTCAACATTTCAACATAGTCAAACAATTGTGGGGGGACCTTTGAACAATTCTATGTAAACTTAGCGATTTCTTGTACATGGACAATAAATCACCTAACTCAGTGGTCGGCAAACCGCGGCTCGCAAGTCACATGCGGCTCTTTGGCCCCTTGAGTGTGGCTCTTCCACAAAATACCAGATTCGGGTGCACAGTGCGATTGAAACTTCATGGCCCATGCGCAGAAGTCAGTTTTCGGCCTGGGCGAGTCTATTTTGAAGAAGTGGCGTTAGAAGTGGGGGGTGTGGGTCAGTTGGTCGGTCGTGGCGCAGGTGGGCAAGCGGGCCAGGGGAGGTACATTGTTTTGAGGTACGTTCGCTGAGGTCAACACCTTCCAACTCTCCCATCCACACTCGTCTATCTGAAACAAGTATACAAGACCAGCGTGGATGGGAGAGTTGGAAGGGGTCGACCTCAGCGAAAGTACTTCAATCAGATTGAGGACGTTTTTAGCAAAGGCCAGCTTAGGAGTACCCTAATTAAGTTAATAACAATGTACCTACCTATATAGTTTAAGTTTAAAAAATTTGGCTCTCAAAAGAAATTTCAATCGTTGTACTGTTGATATTTGGCTCTGTTGACTAATGAGTTTGCCGACCACTGACCTAACTGCAAAAAGAAAAAAAGATATCAAACCACAAAAGGAGGGAGGGTAATTATGTGTCAGACTGCTCCCTTATTTCCTGGCTCGGATGATTTCTGCTCTGGGTGATGTCCCTTCTCCTGTGCCTAGTAACCCCAGATCTCTGACGGCCAGGAAGCTCCAAGAGGGGAATGGGCAGCCGCTGCCAGCTCTGGCCGTTCCATCTCCCCGCCTCCTTCCTAAGTCTCTCAGCGAGGAGTCACACAAGAGTTGAGTAAGTTAACACACGAAGTCTTTATGGCGAATGATACCTTCACGTGCTAGTCTCCTCCTCCCATAAGGTTTTGCAGACAATGCCAAAACTCACAGGGAGGTGAAATGTGAGTCTCCGGTGCTTTTGAGAAATGCGTTCCTGAGCCCCTCATATCACACTACCTCAGAGGCTCTCTCCTTTCCTGCAAGGCTGACTCTACAGACTGCAAAAGCCGCCTCCTGCCCTTCCCTGGAATTCAGAAATCTCCTACACAAACTGTTTGGGAAATGAGGTCAGATAAACAGGGAGGCAACGGGCACATCGTTCAGAAGAGGCAGTACCTACCCAACACAGGCTCGAGTCTCCAGATGCAATCACCCAAACAACACTTTTTGCAAAAGAAGACTCTTTTTTAGGCTCTACATTTACCCCTCAAAAGTGTGGGGCTTGAGATCCTTTGTGATTTCTTGGCCTCCTAACGAGCCTACTCTCAGAAAGTACGAGAACGTAGGGGGCTGGGAGGAAAATCCTCTCTTCCCCGGTGCTGAACTTTAGCAGGTAAAGCAATCGTTCAACCGGAGTGGCCATTCCCGGAGGCTAGGAAGGGGGGCAGGGAAAGCACAGGGGAGGGAGGGAGGACGCGGGGTGCGGACACGAGAGGCACTGGGGTCCTAGATGGGAACCGCACCGGGGAACCGGGGAGGGATCTAGAGGCCAGAGGTCAGGGCACCCAGAGAGGCCAAGAGGGCTGAGCGGGGAGGGGGCGGGGAGAACGGCCACGTCAGTCCCGGCTCCGCCCGCCACGTTGCCCCTCGTCCTCCCCTCACATCCTCCACTCGGGGCGTTGGCTCTCACCGTTCGTCATGGCGGCTGAGCCCGGGCCTGACTAGGGAGGCCGGGATCAGCGGTGGCAGGAGCGCAGGTGGGGGAACCCAGCTCCCGCTTGACACTTCCCGATCCCGGCCGCAGCGACGGGTAGGAACTGTAGTACGCAGGCGCAAGGGCAGGCAGGCGAGCGCCGAACGCAATCAGGGGTGGCTAGCAGATTGCCGAGCGAGGGACCCCATGTGGGTGGGGCTTGCGTGCTTCCATCTCAGAAGCGCGTGGTCCGGGAGGCGTCCTGCGTGGCCATGGTAACCAAGTCTCTTCCGGGTGCCGGTGCGGAAGCGGTGCTGGGACGTAACCTGACCGTTCACTTTGCCGGTGAAAAGGTAAGGACTTGGACTTAGCGCTGTAGTGTGTGCGGTGGCAGCTCCTGTGTCCGTTTGTACGTCTGCAGCCCTCCTGCAACAGAGAAGGCTGGGTCCCGGGCTTCCGCTCAAGAGCCCTGGTCCCCGGGGTCAAGAGGGGGCCCCAGCGGCCTCCAGGACTGCCCTTGCCGCGCGGCTCTTTCTGACTTCTTATGGAAAACTGGATAGCCAGGCTGCGTCTGAACTTTCTAAATGAAATAAGGAAATTATAACAAAAACGAGCCTCATATTTCAGATCACAAAGCTCCACGTTGTCGGGAAACATTCAGATAATTGCCAGTTTGTTTCAGGAGAGTCTCCATTATCTCCTGTATTTAGTTAATGTTGGGATCACCTCGGCCACTGTCACCAGAAACCGGCGATTGTCTGGACAGCGCTTCCCACAACACAACACTTTCACAAGGTGGCGAGAGCTTTTAGTCAGTTTTTAGTGAGGGTAGGGGGTGGCGTGGGGATGGGTAGAGACAAAGTCACAGATTACATTTCGTACATTGAAATACCTAATTACACACAACTCGACTTTCTTTATTAGACTCCGGGCGGGAGAGCGACAGGGTCCCCGGAGATGAAAGTGTAAGGTTAGGATCCCGCAGTGGTAGCCAAGCTGCAGAAGGGATTCTCCGCCCCTGCCCCAGTGCCATCTGCTGGCTGTGGCCTGCTTGGTCACGCAGGAGAAAAGCCACCCAAGCCTCCTACATGCAGGACAGACTCTTTGAGATAATACACATAAATGTAGAGTAAAAAACAAACAAACAAACAAATGAAAGATATACGGGCCCAAACTCAAAAGAAGGCCAGATAGATGCCAACACACACACACACACACAGTGATTAGTTGTCTAGCTACTATTTCAAAGGACAGTGAAAGATCACAACATCCTACTCTGATTACACAGTTACTTTTCACTCTGCTCAGAAATTACCCTTTTCTGTTTCTCCTTTTTTCATGTGTCTTCTCCTTCCTACTCCTTCTTCCCACTCATTCATAATTTCTTCCTTACTTTTCCCTCCACCACATTTTTCCCAATTTTTATAAAGTAGTTTACCTGTTTTTATAAAAAGCAAATCTCACCAGATTTTTATTTCAAAATCAGTTATACCAAGAATTTAATATTTTAAAAAATTATAGTATTCTGTTTCTCTCTGTAAAATTGGGGTTGTTGAAGGATTCAACAAGTTATTATTTACAACACTTGGCATGAAGTGCCCCAGAAAGGTTAGCATTACTCTTGTTGTTTGTTTATTTTAAAAATATTTACCAGTGTCTACTACAGGCTGGGTAATTTGCTAGATTTGCAGGAATAAAGGTAAAAATGAGTCCCTGCCCTCAGGGAACAAACTTTATAGGAGAAGATATATGAATAAACACATTTTAGCAGAGCACAGGACATTATCTTTGATCCTCACTATTTTGCAGAATATTTTTTCAAGAAGAAACCTGAGGCTCAAAGAAGGAACATGTGTGAGATAACATTGCTAGCTAGGATCCAAACCTAGGTCTGTCTGTCTGACTTCAAAGCTCCCTCCTGTTATCACACTGTCTCAGATTAGGATGCTGTCACTGATACAGATCTCTGATGATTTTGTTTCAAGCATTAATGTTTCTTTCACCCCAGAGCCTCACATCAGGCCAAAGCCTGGGTCACTAGCTCTTGCAGCTCAACTGTGAGAAATAAGTAGAGCCCTCCCGGCTGGGGACTCAATTCAGACAGTCCTCCTCAGTTCATTTCAGCCTTCGCTGGAGGACAGGCAGTTGTTGCCAAACTCCTGTCAGTCAAGAACAGTGGCCTGTTTGTTACGGTTGTTTCGGTCACTGTGACAAACACTCATCAGTCTGGGGACCATGATGATGGCATTCTGGTTTAACCAAAGAGTAAGTCCCGTCCCCAAAGGCACAGCTCACAACAATAGCTTCATTTGAATTACAACATATTTGAAAAGGGATGTCAAACAGGCATTCATTTCTGCTGCAAATATTTGTTCCAGGACTTTTAAGTGTCAGGAATGCACGAACCTTTGGGAGCTCAGAGATGAAAGAGAAACACTCTGTTCTTAATAAGTTTAAGATTTAGTAGACAAGATAAGCTGGGTGTATAAATAACCAGAAAATACAGTAGAAAGCGAGAAGTGTTGCAGGGAAATGGAACCAGGGCTGTGGAAGTGTAAGGGAGAAAGTGCTTTCGGCTGAGAACCCAGGGAAGGCTTGATGGAGGAGCAGACATTTCAGCTGGGCCTGAAAGGCATGTAGCATTTCCATAGAAAGCAAAGGAGTAAAAGTGCTGAAAGGCACGGAGATGGGAAAGTACAAGGTAAGTCGGGGCACAGCACACTCTTCCCTCCCTCCTTCACTGGCTAACTCCATTCATCGCTCAGGTCTCAGTTCAAACCTCACTTTCTCAAAGGAGCCTTCTCAGACCTTCTTGGGTCCCCTTCCCCCATCACAAGCTTCCAGAGCTTATATTATCTCTGTAATTCATGCCTCACTCCCCCTACAGGCCCCCAGGATACCCACAACTTCTGTCCCACTTGGCTACAAATTGGAGGTTCCTGTGACCTCCTCTTTCTTGTATTCTATTATTTGCTAGGACATCTCACAGAACTCAGGACAATACTTATGTCTACCAGTCTATTCAAGGATATGATCAAGGACACAAATGAACAGCCAGATGAAGAGAGGTATTAGGTGAGGTTTGGGAGGGTCCCAGTGAAGAGCGCCTGTCCCTGTGGAGTTGGGGTACGGTACCCTCCCAGTATGTGGATGTTTCCCCCACCCTGGAGGCTCTCCGAACCTCCTACTATTGGGATTTTGATGCCTCAGGTATAAGTACAATCAACTCCATTCCCAGCCTTTCTCCCCTCTCTGGAGAATGGGTGGGTGGGGTTGAAAATTCGAAGCTTTACTACTAGTAAAGAATATCCCCAATAACCAACACAAAGCTTGGCATGAATAACAGTGGAACTCCAAGTTGTGGAAATTGTTTAAATATACGCTTGGGGCAGCCCAAGGCCGCCGGCTAGCCCCACAACCACCCATCCATTGCTTGGCAGTCCCGAATCGGATAGTGGCGACCCCGCAGGCAGAAGCACATGGAGGGTGACCACCAGGTACACGCCGCCAGGGCTTCCTATTCTTTGCTTTTTAATTCCTCCTTCGTGGTTTCAGAGCCAGGAGCTCATTCCTACGTCCCTAAAGAGCGTCTCGGCTCCGCCCTTAGGCGGGACCACGCGTCCCCGCCCCTTCCGGTCCCGCCCGATTAGGCCCCGCCCAATTCATTGCGTCACCGGAAGTGCGGCGGCGGAAGTAGTAAAAGCCGCTCGGAGGTCTGAGACGTCTCCTTTGAGAAAGTAGTAAAAGGGGGCCGGGCGCTGTGGGCTGGCCGGTGGGATGGCGGATGAGGAAGAGGACCCCACCGTGAGTGACCACCTCTCTTCCCACCCGCTCTTCTCTTCACTCCCCGGGGACAGTGGCGGAGGCCGGGGTCGGAGTCGGGTCTGCTTTCCTGAGTGACTTCAGCCGGGAGAGCCGGGGACTCGACGCGGTGCCCAGCCTTTCCCTTCCGTTCGCTTTTCGAGGGCATGGGGCCGGGCGTGAAGGGGGGAGGGGAAGGCGGCCCCCAACCCTGGCGTTTGGTCCACACCTGCCAGACGCCCCTCGTGACGCCTGGAGAATCGTCGGAGGCCCGAGCGAATGTCTCTTAGCGCTCCCGGCGAGCCAGCAGTTCAGCTGCTCACAAAACTGCCCCCTCGCTGTCAAGTGTGGACCGGAAGTGGGAGCCTGGGTTTCACAACTTCCATTGCCCGCGAGCAAGTCTTTCAGTTTTGGTTCTCGGGGTCCATGGCATTCAGTGGGGCGAAGGCTTCCTTAAGGCGCGATCCCAGCTTTGATTCAGCACCAACTCCCGCACTAGTGAGGCTGCCTAGCAGTGGGCCAACATGGTGGTTGGGCGGGGAAAGGGTAGTCAATGGAATTCCCCCGGGAGGGGCAGTTGGGTGATTTGCTAGGGACATTATGGAAGCCGTTCCTGCTTGAGCCGGAGGTTGGACTGTCTGCTGCTCGCCTTAGGCTTCCTGGCATGATGTCAGTGTCGAAAGTGGAGGGGGGCTGTGAATTATTAAAAAACCAGTGCCGTGCAATGGCTTGACATTTCTTTCTATACATTTTAACTTGTAGTTTGAGGAAGAAAGTGAAGAAATTGGAGGAGGTGTGGAAGGTGGGCAGGGTAAAAGAAAGAGACTTTTTTCTAAAGAATGTAAGTAATATTTACAATGATTCTATTGCAGATGATTGAAATGTTTTGGACATGTGCATTCAAAGTAGATTTCTTGTTCTGGCCCGGCCGATGTGGACCAGTGGTTGAGCATTGACCTATGAACCAGGAGGTCATGGTTCGATTGCTGGTCAGGGCACATGCCTGGGTTGTGGGCTGATCCCCAGTAGGGAGCGTGGAGGAGGCAGGCAATCAGCTTCTCTAATTGATGTTTCTATCTCTTTATCCCTCTCCTTCTCTCTTAAAATCAATACAAATATATTTTTAAAAAACAAAGTAGATTTATTGTTTCCCTGTAGGGACACTATTCTCAGACTTGCCTGTTAAATTCTGTTTAATTTGTGAATCATAGCTAGTAATGATCCTAACCACAATTTACATACACACATATATAAATACTAGAGGCTTTGTGCATGGGTGGGGTCTCTCAGGGTGGCCTACAGAGATCAGGCCCCAGCTCGCAGCCCCACCTGGCACCCCACCGTGGCCTGGCTTCCCCCTCACCTGTTCCACCATCCCACTGTGGTCCTGCTCTCATCATGGGCGTTGGGGTCCATCGGGGCAGCAGCGCCGCCTTGCTGAGGCCCACCATGTTCTGCACTGCTCCCTGGTGGTCAGCTCACATAGCGAGCAGGTTGAACTCCCCGTCGAATGGCCCCCGGAGGGGACAATTTACATATTAGGCTTTTATTATATAGGATGTATATTCATAAACACACACATCCCCCCCCCCTTTTTTTTTCAAGTGAGGAAATGTGATCAGTGTTTCGATTCAAGGACTAAGACCATACCTCCGTTTCTTCCCTTGTCCCACACTTTGTAGCAGTAGAAGCAGGGATTTTTGACCAAAAGTTAGGATGAATCCTGGAACATGCTGAGCCTAGAAATTAAATTGGAGCGCTGGACTAAGGCAGGAAGGTGGTGAACAGTGCAGGGTCTTATAGTGGCATAGAGATTATAATGTGTCCGCCCTCCATTCTACTCCCTGGGTCGACAGGTTTGACCCTTTTTGTCAGTAGCAGGAGGGACTGGTCCAGGCCAAATTCTGAAAGGCACCATGAGAATTTGCTCTTCATCTCCCATTCTGGCTCCCTTACGTATAGTTATGGCTGAGTATTGACAAATAGGGCAGCACTTGAATAGCTGGTTCATTGATGCTGAGTCAGATGTAAACAGTTCCCAAAGGCTCTTGAAACTGCTGGGCCATTATGTCTGTCTCCCTCTTTTTTTACCACTCAAATTCCTCTCCATATCTCAGTTCCTCACCTAAAGCTGACTGCTCCTTATTCCATCTCTGATGCCATGTACTCCATTTGTTTGTGGTTTTACTTCTTTTGTCAGCATACGAAGGGGATTCCTACACCAGGGCACCCCAGAGTGATGCTTGCATAGTCGGTTCGTAGCAGAAACTTTTATCTACTTGGATTGCTTTATTTTTATGATGACAAGAATTTGGAATCTTCACAGCTTGTCTTACTGGAATATATCTTAAGATCTGTTCTCCTGATCCTTTAAAAACATTTTTTTTTTTTTGCTAATGTAACAGAAACTTTCAAAGCATTCACAGGTATTTGTTTGTCTTCACAGACCCTTTAACCAAACACAGTTTACATACTTCCTATCTAATATCTTGTCCAGTAAAATATATTTTTCTACTAGTGAAGTCTATATCTTCAGGAAAAATAATAAGGGTATTATTATTTTTGGAGAATCCTGGCTATGTCGTCAAAATTTTAATATTTTTATATGTTTTCTTTTATTGATTTGAGAGAGAGGAAGGGGGAGAGAGAGAGAGAAACATCAATAATGAGAGAGAATCATTGATTGGCTGCCTCTTGTATACCCCTACTGGGGATCGAGTCCGCAACTCAGGCATGTGCTCTGACCTGGAATCAAACCATAACCTGGTTCAGCGGTCGCCAACCTTTCGGACCTCACAGTTCATCAGTGGTCCACGTACCACCGGTTGGCGACTGCTGTCTTGGTTCATAGGTCAACACTCAACCACTGTGCCACACGGGCCGGGCTCTAATTTTCTTTTTAATTTCTTGCCCGAGGATGGATGGATATATATATGAACCAGCTATTCAAGTGCTGCCCTATTTGTTAATCCTCACCTGAGGATATTTTTCCATTGATTTTTAGGGAGAGTAGAAGAGAGAGGGAAAGACAGAGAGAAACATCGATGTGAGAGAAACACATCGACTGGTTGCCTCCTGCACGAGCCCTGACCAGGGCCGGGGCCAGGGAGGAACCTGCAACCAACGTTCGTGCCCTTGACTGGAACCAAACCCAGGACCCTTTGGTCCGCAGGCCAGACGCTCTATCCATTGAGCCAAACTAGCTAAGGCCTGGTTCTTCTTGTATGCACCCTCACTGGGGATCCAACCCACAACCTACGTATGTGTCCTGACTGGGAATTACACCCACAACCTTTTGGTGTACGGGATGATTCTCAACTAACTGAGCCACCTGGCCAGGGCAACTTGGGTCAATTCTAATTTGAAAAAAGTATTGATCAAGTGATTAAATTTGTCCAATAAGAATGATTTTTCTTTTACAGTACGATGTATGATGTATGGGTTTGGGGATGACCAGAATCCTTATACTGAGTCGGTGGATATTCTTGAAGACCTTGTTATAGAGTTCATCACTGAAATGGTAAGATATTTTTTGTTGTTGTTATTGGTCTTAGTTAATAGAAAAAAAAGATTTTAAATTCAAACTTATAGATAAGACTAGAACTATGGCATTCTTTAGAAATAAGATATCCGTCCTAACCGGTTTGGCTCAGTGGATAGAGCGTCGGCCTGCGGACTGAAAGGTCCCAGGTTCGATTTCGGTCAAGGGCATGTACCTTGGTTGCGGGCATATCCCAGTGGGGGGTGTGCAGGAGGCAGCTGATCGATGTTTCTCTCTCATCGATGTTTCTAACTCTCTATCCCTCTCCCTTCCCCTCTGTAAAAAAATCAATAAAATATTTTTTAAAAAAAAGAAAAGAAATAAGGTATCCATGTGAGTGCCTATTTTGTGGAAGTTATTGATTACTATTTATCATTAGGAATGGAGATTGTGTATGTGTGTGTATGTACATACACATATATGAGACACAGTATAGACACAACTAATGCTAAGAATTTGGTGAATATTCTTTTGTCTTTTGCATATATTTTTAAAATTTACAAAATTGAAATTATATTGTTATATACAGTCTTATAACCTGTTTTTTTGGTGGTGGTGGTTGTTTTCCATTTAGGTAAGCCTAGAACATTTTCCCCATGTCATTGCATAACACTATATTTTTAATGGTTTCATAAAATTGAATGGATGTGCTCAAATTTATTTAAAGCCTTAATATTTAGTTTCCCTTTTTTTAGTCATCAGGAATAATGCTATGATGAACCTTTGCTTTTGCACAGGATGAATATATAATGACAGAGGGTGAGATTTGATTTTAAGAAAGCCACCAATATTGAGAGGGACACAAATTTTAAATGAAATGGGTGATTACAAAGAAATTACAAAATTATTTTATACAGTGAAGGCAAAAACTACATATATCAAAAATCAAAGAAACATCAGTAAATTTGATAGCTTCTGTGTTCTTAATATTAAAAAATATCTATAAAGCATTAAGAGAAACAGTGCTAATCACCCAGTAGAAAGTGGATAGAGGTATGAATAGAAGATAATTCACAAATGAATAGCTATAATAGAAGAGAAAAATCTTCAAACTCACCAGTATTAAACATGCAAATTTAAAAAAAGAATGATGAATACATGCAAATTGAAACAGTAAAATGTTATATTTTTAAAAATCAATTGAATTTAATATGCTTTTTTGCAATAGACTCACAAGGCAATGTCAATTGGAAGACAAGGTCGGGTACAAGTTGAAGATATCGTCTTTCTGATACGGAAGGACCCAAGGAAGTTTGCGAGGGTTAAAGATTTGCTTACTATGAATGAAGAATTGAAACGAGCTAGAAAAGCATTTGATGAAGCAAACTACGGATCTTGACAACTTTGGAACTTACTGAAGCTTCCTTATCTTCTGGGGAGACCATATATATAACCATATGTTTTCCATGGGAAGGTCCCCATAACTAGCGATGTAAGTGAAAGGTGGAGAAGCACGAAGTTTCCCACCTTCATTTTCATGTCTTCTATTTAAGAGTGATATTTGAGCCCTAGCCGGTTTGGCTCAGTAGATAGAGCATTGGCCTGCAGACTGAACGGTCTCAGGTTCAGTTACGGTCAAGGGCACATGCCTGGGTTGTGGCTCGATCCCCAAGGCAACCGATCAATGATTGTCTCTCATCATTGATATTTCTATCTCCCTCTCACTTCCTCTCTGGAATTAATAAAAATATATTTTTTTAAAAAAGTGATATTGGAGCCTTTAACTGCCCGCCATTATACGACCATACTTGAATTACTTATTGGGTTTTAATGACCATACATAAGTTAAAGGATCTTGCAAACCATGTAGTACCTTCTGACTTTTGACTGTCTAAACCAGCGGTTGCCAACCAGTGGTCCATGGACCACTGGTGGTGCGTGAAGTCCAAAAGTTTGGCGACCGCTGAATTCTAAACAATGAAGTATTTATGTACCCGGTGCATTTGTGCCGTTGTAGGGCATGCTCTTTATTTTTTTTCTAAATAATTCTTTATTGTTGAAAGTATTACATATGTCCCCTTTTTCCCCCTTTGGCCCGCTCCACCTTCCCCCTCCAGGTCATGCTCTTTAATATGTGAACTCTAAATGGCATCTTTGACTTTCTGATAGCTAAGACATGATAATTAAAACAGTGTTTTCAGACTACAGTAATCTGAGAGGTTATTAAAAGATAGTAAAATGGTTTGTGTTTCTTTTAAGGAGAAGATGATAGAAGAAAATATAGGCTTTTGTAGGAGTGTTTATCTGTCTTAAGGTAGTTCTTTGTTTTAATATTCTTTCCTTTTGATAGAATGCTTTTTGGGAGGGAGAAACTAAAAGGTTCATGTGAGTGCTTCATGTTGAAGGCTTTTTTGACTTAAAACCTCTAGGGCATATACGATTTGTCAAGTTTTAAGAAAACTCATTTTCCCAGGTCAGATTTCCCTTCTGTATAAAAATAAATGCTTTCAGTAGCAGGAATGGCATTGTTAAAAAGCTGACGGCAGGACAAGCATTTAGGTGTTTTATTAACATTTGTTAGTACTTGTTCATTGTGGAAATGTGTACTTGACTAAACCATATGTGGCTATGGAAACTACTTTTGTAGATCAGGATATACAGCTTTTGTGTGTATTTAGCTTATTGTATTAAATTATTATTGTACTTAGCTTAAAATCAGGATTAAAATTGCATTTAGAGGGATCACTGAATATTACTCTGAAACTGAATGTGTGCCGCTTCTGAACATCTATAAATCAGTACTGGAGAATTTTACTTCCTTAACCTATTTAAGGTCTGAAAAATGAAAAAAAGATCAATACTATAATTTAACTGTGTGTGATTTATCAGCTTTTTCTCCCACTTAAAATATAATTCTAGCTGCTTAATCTCACTAAAATCTCTATACTATTAGTAGTATAATGCACTTCAGTTGACAGTGAGATTCAAGATAGCTGGGCTGATCTTTTTGTTATTTAAAAAAGTAAAAACCAGCCCGGCTGGCGTGGTTCAGCTGGTGTGGTTCAGCGGTCGATTTATGAACCAGGAGGTCACGGTTCGATTCCCAGTCAGGGCACATGCCCAGGTGGCGGGCTCAATCCCCAGTGTGGGGTGTGCAGAAGGCAGCCAATCAATGATTCTCATCATTGATGTTTCTATCTCTCTAGCCCTCTCCCTTCCTCTCTGAAATAAAAAAATATATATATTAAAATAAAATAAAAAAGTAAAAACCAGTTGAAAAGCTACTCCAGACTAAGCTAAAATAAAAAATGGGAGCAGAGTCCTGGCCAGTTTGGCTCAGTGGAAAGAGCATCGGCCTGTAAACTGAAGGGTCCTGGGTTCGATTCTGGTCAGGGGCACATGCCCGGGTTTCAGGCTCAATCCCCAGTTGGGGGCGTGCAGGAGAGCCGGTCGGTAATTCTCATCATTGATGTTTCTCTCTCTTCCTCTCCCTTCCTCTCTGAAATCAATAAAAATATATTTAAAAAAAAGAATGGGAGCAGAATAATAAAACATTAATGTATCACAATTTTTTCCAGTCAGGGTCCACTTCACCCTGAAGAAGGAACTGGTAGTAACCGGCCCCTGGGCGGTTGTACTGGGTGCCTGTGTTAGTCTGCTCGCTGCCTTAGCAAATGTCATAGACTGGGCGGCTTAAACAACAGATTCCTTTTCTCACGGTTCTGGAGGCTGCACGTCCCAGAGCATGGTGCCAGCATGGTCAGGTCTGGTGAGCACTTCCTGGATTGCAGATAGCTGCCTTCTCACTGTGTCCTCACATGGCTGAGAGCTCTGTTGTCCCTTCCTCTTCTTAAAAGGGCAGCACTCTGTAACGTCAGGATTCAACCTGATGACCATATTTAACCTTAACCACCTCCGTAAAGGCCCTATCTCCAGTACAGTCACTTGTTAGGGGGTGTTAGGGCTTCAACATACAAAATCTGGGGGACACAATTCAGTCTAGATAGCAGTGTCATTAGTCTTACTATTTTGCTAATGACCCTAGCATATAAGAAGTTTCTTTGTTTTTGTTTTTTCAGAGAGAGAGAGGAAGGAAGAGGGAGAGAGAGAGAGAGAAACATCTATTTGAGAGTGGAACATCGATCAGCTGCCTCCTGCACACCTCACACCTACTGGGGATGGAGCCTGCAGCCCTAGCATGTGCCCTGACCGAGAATCGAACCCGCAACCTTTCAGTGCACAGGTCGATGCCCTACCAATTGAGCCATACCAGCTAGAGCTAAGAAGTATTTTTATGGGAATTTATATTAAGACTGTTAGGTTGCGAGTGATAGAACTTAACTAAAAAATAGCATAAACAAACAAAACAATTTATTGGCTTATCTAACTGAAACAAGGGAAAGAAGAACTTGAGAATCCAGACTTGTCCATCTTTATCCACATTTTGGCTTTACTCTCTCAGGAACCTCCGTGTGTCAGGGAACATGATGGCAAGTAGCTCTAGGGTTCCATCCATATAACTCCTAATCGGGGGAGCGGCTTCACCTCCTAATGCAGAGAGTTCCAAGTGAGGAGCATGATTGCCATGGCTCTGGTCATTCTTGGACCAACCACTGTGGCCAGGAAGAAGTTGTACTATAGCCGGGATCTCAAGCCCCACCTCTGGCGAAGAAGGGCTTGGAGTGGGGGTGGCAGCTGGGCACTGCTATTCGCAGGAAGAGGAAAGAGGCTGGGCAGACAACAATAACAGATGAGCACTGACTTGATTCATGAGCTGACTTATTAACTGAATGTGGATATTCATGGCTCTCTTCCAGTATCTAGAGCCGCACTGCGTAATAGGGTAGCCACTAGCTACATCGAGCTATGTAGCTAATTAAAATAAATAACATTAAAAGTATTCTATTGCACTAGCTAGATTTCAGGTGCTCAGTAGCCCCATGACGAGCGGCTACTGCACTGAACAGTGTCGCTATATAACATTTTCATGATCACACAAGTGGTTTCTCCTAGGTTAATTCACTTTTTTTCACCTACTACAGAAAATCTCAAGTATACATAGTAAGAAGATAATATCATGAGCCCCACCTTCGACAATTAACCTTTCGCTAATTTAACATCTTATCTATTCTCCCACTATTTTTTGAGGTGAGAATGGCAGTATTTTAAAGCAAATTTCAGATACTGAATCATATCATCTATGGAATACTTCAGTATGGAAATCTCACAAGAGTTTAAAAGGTAGTCCAAATACTATTATACCCTAACAAAAATTAACATTATTTCCTTAATATTCCATCTAATAACCAACCCCTGGTTTAAAAAAAAAATCTCTTGAGTATCTTTTTGAGTTTGTGTGTTAGTATTTATTAATGCTGTAACAAGTTACTGCAAATTTAGTGACTTAGAACAAAATCAGTATCTTACCAGTTTTCTAGGTTGAAAGTCTGACATGGGCCTCACTGGGCTACAGTGAAGGGGCCAGCAGGGCCCCATTCTTTTTTGGATGTTTTAGGGAGGAATCTGCTTGTTTGCCTCTTCCACCTTCTAGAGGCAGCGTTCCTTGGCTCATGGTCCACTCTCCTCTTCAGAGCTAGCCTTGTTGCATCTCTCTGACCCTTCTTCCATGGTCATATCTCCCTCTGACCCGAGCGGGGAAAGGATCGCTGCTTTTAAGGACCCCGGTGATTATAACACAGGCTAATCTCCCCATGTCAAGGCCCTTTAACTTAATCACACTAGCAAAGACTTCAATGTAAGGTAATACGCAGGTCCGGGGGTCGGGGGGCGGGAGGGGACTGTTATTCTGCCTAACACAGTTTGTTTGCAAAAGGCTCTAAACAAGGTGTCACCAAATTTGGTTGGTATGTTTAAATATTTTTAAATCCATAATAGCTCCCCTCCCCCACTTTGTTTTAAGTGTAGTTCTATCTTTAAAAAAAGTCATACCTTTTTTAAATTTATTTTTAGAGAGCATGTTCGTTAGATGCTCAAGCAGAATGTCTAATACACAGCAATGATTCACTTGAAATTGTTGGTTTGACTGTATTTAAACTGGTCTTCTTAAGTAAAAACGGTAATAAAATTCTGAGTGTAGAAATTTTTAAAAAGGGGAGGTAGTTCCCTTGGCCTCTCATCAATGGAGAGAGGCGTTGTCTGGAGAGTCACTTGGCTGCTTCCCAAGAGGCCTCAGGAGGTGGCCTGACTTGGGAGAATGTACTGTTTAGTCCAGATGATTCGCAGGATTGCAGGCTCAGAAACCGATTTCATCAGCATCTCTCGGGGTGGATCTCCGAAACCAAGGTCACCACACCAGGGTATGGGGAAAATGGAGGCCAATTTACAGATGGAAAACTTCAACGGTGGCCAGCAAAGTCTTCCCTTCTCTGGGCAGACCCATATGGGAAACTGGAACATAGTTATGAAGGTGAATCAAAATGAGGGGAGTTAAACAAATTCATGGCCTAGGCTTCAGGTAAGAGAAGGGTCAAGTTAAAACAGAAACAGGAATAATGGCTCTCAGGGCCCGGGGACCTACCTTCAAGATGGCCTCGTTACTGACGCTGGGAATTGGGCTCGAGTTTTCGCTTCCACTGACAACACCCACCCAAGCACCGTTTGTTTGTAAGCGTTAAG